ATTGTTAGTGTCACTGAAGTTTTGAGATCGGAACATAATGACTTACTTTGGGGTGATTTGCTCTTAATGTCTTTCCTATTACTATTCCCAATACCGAATGACCCGATACCCACTAAATATCTTCTTTCATCCAAAAATACCAGTAGATACAACAACCTAACTGATCCATTAAAGTCATTCGCACATGACAATGTACGTTTTCAAGCAAAAAGTTTAATTTAGCCCTTGAGTTATACCCGCCATCTGCCGTTATTCAGGGTCGACAGATCGTAAAAACTGAAATAAAAAAAGGTTAATAACTATTAAGTTCACATTTCTAGGAACAATTCTAAGTTTCTAACAGATCCAACAAAAACACCGTTTATTTAAAAGAAATTATTTAATTATCAACCTAAAGTTATAATAATAGTTTCGAGTATAAAAAACTGTTGTATGAAAGCCCTAACGCTTGTGTTATTGGGCGAAAATTGCAATATGGCTGCCGAGAAAAATTACAAGTGGGAAAAGCCGAGTACCCTTCAAGCTGCAGCGAGGGGAATGAAGCCGCGAGGTGACGACTGAAAATGCTTTGTGATAATGAAAATGGCGGATTTTGGTGCTCACGTTGCGTGTGAGTAGATAAAAGGATGGAACAATAATATCCTTTTGTTTGTGAAAACATATTTATAGCCGCCATAGTGCCACAGACAATAAGGAAACTGTTGACGTCGGAACGTTGGAAATTGTTTTCAGATGGATTTTCTTTTATTTTTTGGTAATTTGAAGTTAAAGTATGTACATACATATAGTTTTGACGTTGGAAGTAAATAGACAGAGGTAGGCCTGTATAGGTATTAAGCAACTGGTACATTTCGACAGAAATGTTATTTGCTCCTTTTACCTCCTACGACTACTTCATAATATGAGACATTATTTAATACTCTCTGAGACATTATTTAATACTCTAATAAAATTCTAAAGTCATATACAGCACTCTTTGTAGCACGCTGTATTTCACATTGCATAACATAACATAACATCACGTCTTTTATCCCCGAAGGGGTAGGCAAAGGTGCACATTACGGCACTTAATGCCACACCACAATGTAACACCCACTTTTCACTATTTATGTTATGAGTCCCATATAATAGGGGATGAGCATATTGCCATATACCGGGCACATTTCCAGACTCCGTGCTATTACTGAGATTTTTGAACCCAATAATACTTTGCCCGACCCCGGAATCGAACCCGAGAGCCCTTGCCCGGCAGTCGCACTTGCGACCACTCGGCTAACGAGGCAGTTACATCACGTAGCAAATAATTTGACATTCCAATACAAAACTCCATTGTACACCAACCTAATAGAAAATCAACATACTATTGAGACTCAGCTTAAAAAAACTTCAATTCATTTCATAGATGACGATCTAAACTCAATAATCCTCATACAAGAAAACCACATAACGATTTGTCGTTTTCCACATGTAGTTACTAGTTAAATGGCTGCTTCTCTCTCGTGCTACCCCCTTGAGCTTTGCTCCGCGATCAACATCGCACCTAATATGAAAAGCGGCGGACAGGGAAAAGTTTTAACCCACGATAAAAATGTTGCCCGTGCGGAAATATTATGTGCTAAATAAAATATTTTGTTTCATTTCGAAACTTAAGTAGATTTATATCAGACCTTTATTCATGTGAAAATGACACATTTTCATTCGAATTTGTTTTAAATCATTATTTATTATCATTTTCAGCCATGATCGTCCTACTGCAAGGCAAAGGCCTGCATATCCTCCTTCCAGTCATATCTATGTATATGTCCAGTTCGTCCCCCGCCATCTCCTTTTGGCCATTGACGTTGAGCGGACTCCACTCAGCAGTTCTAAAAATTAAAGGAGATTAGAAAAGGATTTTATTAACGGTCAACATTATAGTACCTATGCAGTAGAATAAGGTATCGCTCTGTTTTTATTATATCAATCAGTACCTATACACAATTATAAAAAACAATCAGTATAACACCAACCTACCGATCCCTTCAAATAACGACATAAAGTTAGAAACTTACTAAGGTTACGCATCTCCAAATCGAATGTCACGACTCTCCCATTAATACCACCATGAAGCTATCTACTTATTTCATGTTTTACATTACAATCAAGGCATGGCATTGTTCCCCTATATTTTCATAGCAGATCTAAAATAACTGACAGGAGAGGGTTTTTAGGTTAGGAGAGCACGTTTCCATTAATATTTAATAAGCAATTTGGCATAACGTATTAAAGATTGACTTATGTGTACCTTTACAGTAGCTATAATTTATTATTTTACTTTGCGACTCATTTTTAAGTGAGTAACTCGCATGCTGTTAATTGTGTGCATATGTAATAGGGTTTAGGTTAAGGCCTAGGGGCTTAGGTTCTTAAAAATCGGTAGGTACCTATATACGATAACAAATAGGTAATTAGGCAGTTATAGTAACAAAACCCTTTGACGGCCTTCGTTATACGTAGGATCTATGTTTTCATTATAACTATCGTGAGACATACTTAATTAACTAAAATCGCGGGTTACTCACTTGAATATATTGAGAAAAGCTCTAGGCGACGTCGCCGCAACCGCGCACGCTGCTCATGAGGAAGAACCCCTCTGTGATTCGAAACTAGTAGAGCTTTTCTCAGTATATTCACGTGAGTAAATCGCGATTTTAGTTAACGTAGAATCTACTCAAATACTGTGTCAATCTATATAACTAGTATTCAAAAAATACCTCTGTAAAAATTCTACCTTCTTTCTATAAAACCAGCTAATGAAATCACTCAGTTTACAAAAGAAAAACGACCCGTTCAGTGATTCAGAATCCCAACTAGGTTAATTCTACCTTACTGTCCTAACCTAATTCTAAGGATACAGTTTTCACCTTTTATCCAGTAGGTAACTGACGGAGAACCGGTACGGTCAACATCCGTGCCGGCCGGACGTCATTTCAGGACCGGAAAATCGCCAATCTCCTCTCCCTAGGGCTTTTTTATTTTACACGTTCGCGTTACTGACATCTGGTGCCGACTGTACTTTATACAATTTACTAGTTTGTATATGACTGTACCAATGACGCCATTCTGTAGGTAGGTAGGTAAGTACCTACCTGCGAGGAACGGTGCAGTTTATTTTTTTCTTAGCATTTATTGGATCGTGAAATAATACCCATGCCGCATGTCGTGTTATTTTATAAGCACGACAAGCTTTTTGTTATGTATAAAAGTACAAACCAATGAAACTCTAACTGTAAGAAACACAGTGATGACGCAATTAATTTTTTTCTCTTTTCTACTGAGAATACTTTGCCCGACCCGGGAATCGAACCAGAGACCCCTTGCCCAGCAATCGCACTTGCGACCACTCGGGCAACGTTCTTTTAACCTTGTCCCACACTAGGATTTTCTCCTGTGTCGTGGACATACAAGTTCACATACCTACACATGACACCAAGACTCGGAACAACAATCTGTGGATCACGCACAGACTTGTTCCATGCGGGAATCGAACCCGCGAATTATACTTGTAGTAAGTCTTCTGGTCGTTCTAATCAACTAAATTAGGTATTTCATGTATTATCTACACCTACACAAATCCGAAATCCAGTCTAAAGAAACGATAAAAAAGTGTTACATAACTCAAGCTTAATGGAATATTTCCCTTTAAATCCCTTACACGAATCCAGCTGGCAATATGTTATGATTTACAGCCACCAGATATTTATTAGGCCAATAAAATTTGTCCTTAGCTCTCGAAGGTGGTCCTTCTTCTCCATATATCAAGCGGCTTACGTGGTAAAGGTGTGGACTGTACGATGACAGGTTATGGTTCAATTTTATTCTAATGTACTGGGTTCATTTTAATACTGACTCGTTGGCCGAGTGGTCGCAACTTCGCAAGTGCGACTGCCGGGCCAGGTGTCTCGGGTTCGATTCCCGGGTCTAGCAATGTATACTAGGTTTTCTTAGTAGTAGCACGGAGTCTGGAATTGTGCCCGGTATATGGCAATAGACTCACCCCCTATTACATGGGACTCATAACATATATTATATAGTGAAAAGTGGGAAGTGGGTGTTACTTCTGCGTGCACCTCTGCCTACCCCTTCGGGGATAAAAGGCGTGATGTTATGTTTATGTTTAATACTCGGTTTCGGTGGAGAGTGAATTAGATCTCGCTGATGCTAACGATATACTCATACATTCTATCGAAGCTCGAGGTTTTAAAATCGGAAAAGTTTATTTCCAGGTTTTTGAAACTTATGATTATTATTCATTAATTTTTCTACCTATTTATTACCTAATATATTTTTTTAATATTTGTTGACTCTCAGATATCTAGCCGCTGCCTGCGACTTAGTCCTCTTAGAATATAATTCTTGTTTTATCCCATTGGAGGGGAGCATATACCGGGATAAAAAGTTCTCCTATCCTTTCACCTAAGTCAGCCCATACACTGCCTATATACCAAATTTCATCAAATCCATTGAGAAGTTTCAGTGGGATTGAACATCCAAACATCCAAACAAAGAAACTTTCGCAAATTAGTGCGATTTTCACGAAATGAAAAGTGGCAGAGTATTTTTACCTTTTTGCTACAAGTAGCGCCCTCTATCCACAATAGATTATATCACACCGCTGATTGAAATTCAACGCCATCTAGTGCACGTTCTCCTCAACTGCACAGCATGCAGTAGCTTAGCAAATTCCTAATGTGAAATAATTGCAGTTCGATTGCCGCACAAAACCACTATTTGTGAGATTCGCAAATAAAAAATATTAATGTCACAACTTTGTTTTCTAGTGATATTTTTGCTATTGTAGTGAAATCACCCTTTTTTTATATATATATTAGATGGGGCTGATATTTGCCCACTATCTCGCCTGGTGGTAAGTTTAAATTTTAAATTGGTATGTGTGCAAAACAAACACAAAAACATTGAACTAAAAATATATTTCCTAGCAACTAAATAACATTAACATTTTAAACTTCATCGACTAGTTTAAATCTCTGATGTTGAGGTTGTGGTATAACATTGAAGTACTTCTTCATAATAACTTGTTGTTCCCGACCTCCATACATTCTCTGCACCCAAGTGTGTTCCCAGTTGGGGTCAAATTTCTCACAAGTCACTACCACTTTACCAGCTTCCATTGCAAATAGTGTGCCGTTTCTGCCAAAGCCAACCTGTAAAATAAATATTACCTTATTACTAGCAGCTTGTTTTAACTTCAAACAACTTTAAACCTTTTTTTATTGGGACATGCCCGCCACAACCTCCCAAAACTACCAGCCAGGATCTACAGTAGACACAACCATGACAACACCGGAACACTGAAGTCCGGCGCGTCCCAGGGACATGAGTAACTGTCTTGGTTCCCACAACGAAGTGAATCAGAAGATATTATAAGAGGAGAAGTAAAAAATCGATAGTTTCCACTTCCCTTAACTTTAAACCTTGTCTAAAGAAAACAAAATTTATAATCTGAAACGTATTTTATAGTTTATATTATAAACCCATCAGCAATCATCACTTACGTTCAATCCTGGATGAAACCTTGTCGTCCTTTGAGTGGCCAGCATATGACCGGCTTGAACAAAATGTCCATCTTGTACTTTCCACCCTCTGCGCTTTGGCTTCACCTTACAATTCGTATTAGACGTACTACCACCAGTCTTCTTACTGGCATTACGAACAAACTCTGAAAATAAATTGGAATTAATAGAACGCCCAATGATAACATAACCTATAAATACTATTTTATTTAAGACTCACCTTTTAGCACAGAATTAACTTTGCCTGTACCTAGCAAGAAGTTTAAAGACATTTTTATTTATATTTTGGCAATTAAATTAAGATTTTAATACAATAATTACTGATTAAATAACAACACAAACACTAATGGTCACTTGACAGCCAGTGGGTGCCAGTGATAGCTGACACTGACACTCACTAGTGAGTCACTACTGACAGATAAGCTGACAGCAAAAGCAAAAGTATCCTCGTTTTGATACGAATAATGCAAATGCAATCCTTTACATAGAATTCGAAAAAAAACACATTCCTGTAATTTATATCCTTACTTAATGTAATAGACCTAGACGCAATTAATTATAATACTATTTTATTGAATTATAATTTCCAAAAATATGTGGATAGAGTAACGTGGGATGACAGCAAGACGAACAATTAAACGAGTGATTCTTTGATTTTGTTTGACACCTTTGACAGAAAATAAAATTGTCATTCAATGCTTCAAAATCAACAAAACAAGCTGGAAGACAAAACTGAATTGTTTAATTTTATTGTTTATTGTTACGTTTGGCGTAACCTCACGTTTGGCGTAAGATAAAACACATTAGTAAATCTGTATGAAAATAAAAGTAAATAAATAATACCTCGTGTGTAATAATGTCTTCCGACCCGCTAAATATTGCAAGACGCAAGCTCAACGATGTGCTCGGTGAAAAATCAACAAAGTATTTCAATCATATGAAACAGTGGTTTCGTATGAAGTTAACTAAAGAAGAATTTGATGCTGAAGCTCGTAAATTGCTATCTACGGATCAGGTACATTATCACAATGAGTTTTTGCTGGCGTTATTGAATAAAGTCGAAGGATTAGCTGAGGCTTCGATTAGCATCGCTCAAGAAAAAGCCAGTTCTCACAATAGGAACAGTAGGAGGCACAAGAGAAGTTCCCGTACCTCGGAGAAGTCTAACTTCGAACCTGTGGACTTGCTGGAGTATTTACCGCCTAACTCACCTCCAGGAGCAGGAAGTGATGGCGTCAAGTATGCTGCACAGGTCAGAATCATATCTTATTACTGTATATATGTTTATCTTCATCATTTGTTTATCTGCTTCTGTTTCCTGCTGCTCATAGACCTCTTTAATATGCCACTGAACTCAATCTTTACCCCTTGTTCCACTGCCTGCCACTGTGTAAACTTCTAGCCAATGACCAATAAAATTATTTTGATTGTATTCTTATTTTTCTATTCATCCTCTTTACAGGAAATATTTCTACCAGACCACGCACTTGTTGTTGGACGTTTCATGTTGGCTGCCTGGGAGACTGGACTTGAAGGAGCTGATGATGATGCAGCTGATGTAATAGTTGTAGCTGTGCAGCATTTCCTCAAGAATGTTATTACTGCAGTATTGTCACAGAGGAAGGGTTATAAGATGAGGAACAAACATTTTATGTATGATGTCGGTGGAGATGTACCCAATATTTGGTTGAGGAACTCAACCAAGTTATATGACCCTCAACGAGACGGCAGAGTCAGTGTTGACGAAGGAATGACTGACTTACTAGGCCCCAGGTGCCCTCCAACCATTGACGAAATGGAACACTCTGCTGCATTTGAAATCGCTTGCAGGTGAGAAATAAATACATAAAATATCTACTTAAATTCTATTTACATTTACAAACTACACACACAATACATTTGATACATTCTTACAAGTCAATACAAAATATTAAATACAATAATGTAAGTACATAAATGCATGCATGATTTAGATACAATATTTACAAATTGGAAAGAAAATATTTTTTTGTCTCTTGCAGTGCAAACACGGAGCCTAATGATGACAAATTGACCATAGACGAGTTTTACAACACATTGTTGGTACACAAAAATGTCATATCTTGTCATTCTGTTTATGCTGTCAATATGGAAAGGATAGCTTCTTTATTAAACCATCCTAGTATATAAGTTTAACAATTATTATTATAGATATCATGATTATAGTTGAGTTTCATTTATTAAATTGTTGTAGTGTTACAACATTAAATATATTTCATAAAATATTTCAAAATTATTATGGTTGGTAACATTGAAATAATGTAATTAACTGCCATGTTGCTCTTGTGTCTGTAAGGGTAACAACCTCTGGAACTAAAGGTCCTTAGAGCAAACCCCAGGTTAAAGTATTACAAGTGCAAAATTGTTAGTATGTTTGGTTATCTTCTTACTAATACTAATGTTTGTCCTTCACAGGATAACAGATGTTAACAAAATATGCGAGATCCAATACTGATAAGTTCACAATTGTGATACCCAAAAATATTTTGTCCAACCTGGGATTCAAACTTAGGACCTTGTGATAATAATCTCACTTGCAAACACTTGTTCAATATAGCAGTCATTAAAAACTGAAGTTGTTATTAATTTACCTTGATCAATAATAATTATAATTATTATAAGTAATGAATTCTAATAATAGAACTTATTACTATTTTATGTCTAATATTTTAAATATTACACAACAATATAATAACAGAATTAATTTATTCTTATTATTACATAACAAACATTAAATTAAATTAAATGATTTATTATCACATCCTCAATTATTATTATTCGAAATAAATTGATTGAAATGTATTGAAATTAATTGTAAAACCATCGCGCGTCAATTAATGACAGATGTGAAACAAAATAGACATATCTTAGGAGGTGGGTGATTAGTTTATCTATACTTTTAATGGCAGTAATACCTAATGTCTTATATGGCCAGTCTGGATAACTTATGGCGCTAAACCGATAGTCTACCAAGAGAATAGAAAACTCAATATACACGAGAACGCTAATTATTACATAAACTACTTAGACAATTAATTATGTTTTCTATTTTTGTGACATCGATTTGGCTACCAACTTTGACACAGTGTGAAGCTGGCCTTTTTATTTTTTAGTAAACTGGCCGGTTATAACTATTTTTTTTTAATTTGAGCACTGAGAATGAGACAATGACGAACTAGGTTCCGTTGGTGATTCTACAACCAGTCTCGGCAAACTTAGATCACGCGAGGGTCCTGGAAGCGCCTGCATCTCATGAACGTCACCTTCTTCGTTAGGTCTTATTTTCACACACAATTGCCGCCTCCACACAACCATGCCTATTACGACGACCACGAGCAGAAACCCAAGCAGTCCGAGTAAATATGGCGCCACTGAAGCTGTTGTTATTTTGTAGAAGCCTGAAAGTAGTGCATGTTAGACTTTGGGGAAATAATTGGTACTTATTTACGTATTAACATAACTTATTAGTAGTTTTCTATATTTGTTATTTCAATTTTAGTTGTAAATACTTTAGTTTTTATTTATTTTAACCCGAGTTATTTATTGTTTAGTTTATATCTATGTGTAGATAAGGTTTATTTTTACAGTCTTTTATTCAAAATAATGTAACAATAAACTAGCATTTTGAATGTAGCATCAATAAGGTACTACTTCGATAGTCGAGCAGTTGCAAGTGTTATGCCAAACAGGCGACTACAAAATCAAGGAGTATTCGATTCCCAGGTTCCTAGAATGTTAGGGCACACTACTGATACGTGGGAGGTGGGAGTTCTTTAACACTAGCTTCTGCCTGCGGCTTTGCCCGTGGGATAAAAGTACTCTAAGTTGAGTAACACACAAGCTTTCGCATTTATAATATTAGTAAGAAGTTAAATAACTGGTGAAAAGTGCACGTTACGCTCTATATGCGCACCGCTGCCTACCCCTTTGTAGAATAGAAGGATTGGTGCTATATTATGTTAGTATAATACATAAATACAACTTAAGTGGGCAATAATAAAACATTTTATTACTGGGTTTTTAAAAACAATCTCAGTGGTAGCACGGAGTCTGGAATTGTGCCCGGTATATGGCAAATGGCAATAGGCTCACCCCCTATTACGTAGGACTCATAACATAAATAATGAAAAGTGGGTGTTACTTCTGTGTGCACGTCTGCCTACCCCTTCGGGGATAATAGGCGTGATGTTATGTTATGTAATAAAACATTTGAATATGAGTGAGCACTTTAGATGAATTAAGTAGCCGTCTAGCACCAGCAAAACTGCTGTTGACCGCACGGTCACGGTCCACACGGAGCAACTCTGTGTGACCCACAGATTGTTGTTCCGGGTCTGAGTGTCATGTGTATGTGAACTTGTATGTTTGTAAACGCACCCACGACACAGGAGAAAATCCTAGTGTGGCAAGGACGTTGAAAAAAAGGCGGACATAATGTCACTTAGAAATGAAAGAAGCGCTAAAATGTCAGTGGGTTATTTATGTGTGCGTGTGTAATGGGTTACCACGTTACAATACTTAAGAAAATGACAAGATGTCCTTCATGTCAATGTGGGTATATTATCCGTATAAGGCTATAGCAACTAGGTGCCACAGTCGGTGACTGTGGAGAAATGTTAAAAAAAAACCGTGTGGTGGGGCATGGCCAAGTACCTACTCATAATAGGTAGGTAAATTGTTCACCACCCTAGTGGGGTCTTAGAGTCTAGTAAAGAACTACAAGGACAGAGACTCTGATGACCCTGAACCTTTTAAACTGTTATTTTCAACCAATCTATGAACACATGTAGCCTCTTAGTCCAGTAATGTACTATCACTGACTGTTAAGACAAAAATATTTTTTAACGTGAACCTCACCAAGATTTTCACCTATATTCTAGGTATATTTACAATTACAAACGTACTTTATACATACACGTCACAAAGAGCCCCGGAAAAATGCTCAATATAAGCTGTTAGCTCTAAGAGCTGTTAACTCGTCGAGGACCGGTTTTATAGACACAATTAAAGAACAATAGGTCGCGGTCACCGGTGACCGCTTGGTGTTTGACAGTTTAAACCCAAAACTCATTTATCAGTTACAAATCAAAGATGTTGTGTTAAACGTCTCTTTTGAAAGCGATCCACAGGTGGGTAGGTCCCTAATGAGGATTGACGTTTTAATTCTGGCCACATGGCGCTAATGTAGCGGTTAGGTTCCATTCGTCCAATCACTGTAACTGTCAAAAATTGACTGTCCAATCGGATGACAATAGGAAATTATTGAACAAAGCGGACCTCACGCCGCATTAGCACCATCTGAGAAGCATGAAGACGTTAGCCCTCATTATTATAACCTGGTAGATTACTACGATATAAACTAAGATTTGGAACGAAAATAAATATGACTCACCATGTACATACACATAAACGGTGTCGGTGTATTCCTTTCCATCCTCAAGGCTAGCCCCACAGGTCCATAGACCCATGTCTTCTTCCGACGTAAAGAGAATATTCACAGCGCAGTCGCCACGGTCCAAACTCTTATTTCTTGGGAAGAAATATTTTCCTTGAATTGGGCTGGAATAAAAACATTATACGTATTATGTATCACGTCATTATATGTAAATGGACAAGCTTGATCGTAGTGATACCGCGATCACAGTTTTATATAAAAAGTGTGGTAGAGTCATGCTTTAACACGAATATGGGCCGGCTCGACCGGAGTGATACCACGGCCTCACAGAAAACCGACGTGAAACAAAGCTTGCGATGTGTTTCGTCATGTGAGTGAGGTTACCGGAGGCCCAATTACCCCCCTCCCTAGTCTCCTGAATCCCCGAATCCTCCACAATCCTCAAATTCTCAATTCCCAAAAGGCCGATAATGCACTTTTAACGCCTTTGTGTTTCGGGTGTCCATGGGCGGCTCCGATTGCTTACCATCAGGTGATCCGTCTGCTCGTTTACCGGCTTATGCTAACATAAAAAAAAAACAACGGGCGCCGTCAACTGTGACTGGTCAGCTCCAGACTGTATTATTTATTGTCTTTAAGGGTTATTTGGAATGAGCAAATAGCTTCACTTTTAGATTTCTATTGCTGACGTTCAAAAGTGCCTTCCTGGTCTAATTGAAATAAATGATTTTTGACTTTGACTTGAGCGCCAAACAACTTATTCAACTGCAACTTAAGTGTGTACATGGTCACAATTTGTTGGTTGCTGTACACTCTAAAGACTATATGTATAAATCCATTATAATTAGTGTGATTAGAGAGTCCTTATGAAATGGGCTTGGATAAAGACATGGTTATTCATGACAGAAGATAAACCTACTTACTTGTCTTTCGTTATATCAGCGTTAATGCTGAACGGTGGTCCATTGGGTGGTTCGAAGCGGCAGTACGTCAAAGGTGTCATTCCTTGAATAGCTGCGCAGGATACTAATCCAAGACTGTGGTGGAGTAGTGAGATATTCTTCCAGACAGCTGCTACTGGATCTACTACGCGAACTTCGATTAACTTTATTTTTTCCAATCCCGTGACATGTGTACCCATATGGCAAATCCATAAGCCATTATCCGTTTTTGCGGTCGTAACCGTCAGGGAGCAGAATCCTCCTTTTAGACCAGATGATGCAACACTGACGGATTGAAGTTAAGTTTTATTAGTGAACTGTTTAGGTAAGCAATTAAATAAATAATGATCTTGGAAAGCAGTATCTAAAAGTACTTAGGTATCTAAATTCCAGGTTGGTACCTATGTAGGTACATAGCTACTTTCATAAACTCGGTAGGTAGGTGTGTGAAAATGTAATCAACAATAGGTTGGTACTTAAATAAAAATGCTAGAAGCTGTAAGTAGCGAGGCATATCTAAATATACTAGATCTTTATCTAAATAAAGATCTGAGTAAATAGCAGTTACTAAGCATTAACTTCAGTGGTCGTTAAAGAACATATTGAGATAACATTACTTATTTAGCTATATCGTTAATTTTATGTCATTAACTACAACGTAGATAAACTCCGACCAAACAAACTGTTGACTTAACAATAAGCAAAATAGGAGTTAGGTTAATATTTATTTTCCATACCTTATTTAATTTTACAGCTAGAAGCGCATTGGTTAAGTTACTTAGACGTCAAGGCCTATGTAATATAGTTTTACTATTTACCAAGCTGATAAATTAATACATGATATAATAATATAGGTACGTAGCTGTATATGGAATCAAATTAATTTCCTTAATAAGGTATAAGTAAGGTACATCAACCAAGATTAATTAATTTTAGAAACCATACACCAAATTTTTCCATTATTACATTAATAACAGCGTGTAAGCGGCCACTGCTGACCAAAGGCCTCTTCTCGCATGGAGAAGGTATGTATGGTGTATCAATTATTACATAGGTACTTGAAAATCACTAAAGCTGCCAACGATATTTTACAATCTTCGAAATAAGTACTTACGAAAACCTCTGCCCCTTAGGATTGCGGAACCCGCAATAAGATAGTCCCACGTCTGCCTTGCATTCCATATTAAAGCTTTCACCTTCCAGAGCCAATACAGTTTCTCTACCTTTTTTATCATAATACCTCCTAAAACCTGTTACAACAAATTCATTAAAAAATTACTTTGAACACAATATTTTAAAACTTTTTTTAAGAATTTTTGTACTATACCTTGGACTCGCACAGTATAATCTAAAGCGATTATAATTAAAAACGTGAATAATAAATTAATGTTACACATTTTGGACCGTTAGCACTTGTGTTGCGGGCGACAGCTGTGATATAATAATCGAAAGTACTGTAAATGAACTACCCTCAGAGCTGTGATAATTATATGTCATAGGTCGACGTCGGTGTTACAGTTGCACATAAGATAACTTCGAGACAAATGTTAATGAATGTAATTAATCTTTGTATTAATTACTTTAAAAAATATCAGTTTCTATGTAGGAAACGTCGTGTGGTATAGTCTTAGTAATTACAAATAATAATGAGATATTTATTTTTGTTTATGTCGATGCTTTGTTGAATTTAAATTTTTAATGAAGGGCGTGAAATTTCCTAATACCCGTAGTATTTTTGTTTTGTTAGTCGACAAAGGAACTTTTAAATAAAAGGGCTAGTATTGAATAGAATAGTGTACTGTGATAAATTGCGTCACACTTTGTTTATTTGGGAAGGAACTATCTCCATTCTTGTGTGTAAATTGTTTTGTATGATAATCTTGTTTATACTATTCTACTGCTGCATAATTATTTTGAGCATAAACCAGTACATTTTACTGAACTCAATACTATAATACCAAATACTAAGTATATGCATACTCCTTTATTATAACTCCTTTGGCGTTGCAGTTCTCCATGAGCGACGCGGATTACGTACCATCATGTGATCCGTGGGTTCTTTAGCCAGGGGAGACGCCCTATATAATAACATAGTGTACTTCACGAATGGACCGGTTCGACCGGAGTGATACCACGGCCTTAAAGAAGACCGACGTAAAACAACGCTTGCGTAGTTTCGTCAGCCGTTCCCGTATACTTATTATACTCTTTGGTCAGCCGTTACGTTATGGCCGGCAAAGCATAACGTAATGGCTGGCGACGCCGATTGCTTACCATCACGTGATCCGTCTGCTCTTTTACCGGCTTATACCATAAAAAATATGTACTCCCATTTTCCATACTATTCCATATAGGACTAGGTACATGAGTTTTAGGACATACCTTTTGTTGCAATTTTCTAAAATAAAAGAAGCTTGTTACTCCTTAGTACATCAGCTACCTGCCAGTAAAAGTCCCGTCAAAATAGGTCCAGCCATTTCAGAGATTAGCCAGAACAGACTGACAGACAAAAATAAAAAAAGAATTTTGGTGTATGTATCGTATGTATATTCAAACGCATGTAGTAAAAACTAAATACAAACAGACGCCAATTTTAATTATCTACATAGATTTTCCTTTCTATAAATCCTCATTTAAAATCAATCGCTTCAACATAGTTTTATACCTTCTCATGTTCTCTTCCGAAGTCCATACCAAAAGATACAAATACCTTTAATTTCGTTATTTATTTTCATTTTCATTATGTTATGTTAGTATAAATAAAAATCGTAATGGAACTAGACCTCTGGACATTTTTATTACACGTATTCTTTATAATATTAATATAATATTTACAAAAAATTTAAAGCATCATTTCCTCCTATTTCTATTATTTTTACTTCTTTCCGGTTTTTTATCTGTGGCCAATTCTTGTTGCAGTTTCTTGAGCATCTGTGGCGTGATTAGGCCCTGTAAGCAAAAAAAAACACTACATTTATAAAAAAAAATAAAAATTATTACTTCTTATAATATACTAAGAACTACTCAACTAATCTATCTACCTAACCAATGTTCTAGAATATTTGCATATATGTAGTTGAGGGTGAAAAGAAGGATACAGCTTACCGTTCCTGGGAAATTCACACGGACAATGCCGTGGTAAAGAACTAGTGTAAAATTATAGATATTACAGATTTAGTATGCTTACCTTAGCAACGAGCATGTCAGAGAGTTTAGGCTTGCTCTCTTCCCCTTTAGGCCTCGTATGCGAGGAGCCAGCGCGAATCGCCCTCTTATTGTTCAGAGCTTGAATTTGCGGGTCGTCACGAAGTACTTGTTCTGAGTTTCTTAACAATCTGCGAATTAAAATGAATCGTGAGACACAATCGATATTTTTATCATTAGATCACAATAACCTTATGACATACTAGCGACGCGCCCCGGCTTCGCACGGGTGCAATATGCATGTATTATACATATAAACCTTCCTAAATAATCGTTCTATCTATTAAAAAAACTGCATCAAAATCCGTTGCGTAGTTTTAAAGATCTAAACATACAAAGGGACAGACAGGCGGCAGATAGCGACTTTGTTTTATACTATATAGTGATCTAAACCTATTATCCTTACTTCCTTACTTATCCTTACTTATATTATAAATCGGAAAGTGAGTTTGTTTGTTTGTTTGTTCCGCTTTCACGACGTAACTACTGAACCGATTGCTTTGAAATTTTGCAGAGGTAAAGTGAGAAGTCTGGATTAAATAATAGGGTACTTTTTATCCCGGAAAAATTTGATATTCCCGAGGGAAAACAAAAGTATTGGTATAGATGGCGCTGTGTGTATTGGTATATGTCACATAGGCTATTTTTTATCCTTTTGTGACGCGAGCGAAGCCGCGGGTAAAAGCAAGTAAGTTATAATAGGTTTCGTTATAAATTATAAGTATCGGAAACAATTTTTTTCCACCATGTCCAAGGCACATGTCTTGCAATCCTGCATGAGCAGTTATTCATGAGAATTAGCCTCTAGCGTGGCTTAAAACTAGTCAATCAAACAATTACGTAAATAATTAAAAAAAAAATATCGAAACTAATTTTTCTTAGCCCACGTGAGGAATAGAAGTTCCCTGCTTACCTAGTAATTTGGAATATTCCTTGCTGTATGATAGCGTCTAATTCGAGTTCCATGTCACGCACCAACTTCACATCCGGGAACATGTCAGCAAAACGATAACTGTGAATAAGAACATTAATTAGGTATAATAAACATACATACATAATACCACGCCTTTTATCCCCGAAGGGGTAGGCAGAGGTGCACATTATGCCACTGTACAATGTAACACCCACCTTTCACTATTTATGTTATGTAATAGGGGGTCCCATGTAATAGGGGGTGAGCCTATTGCCATATACCGGGCACAATTCCAGACTTCGTGCTACTACTGAGATATTTTAAACCCAGTAATACTTTGCCCGACCCGGGAATCGAACCCGAGACGCCTTGCATGGCAGTCGCACTTGCGGCCACTAGGCCAACGAGGCAGTCAACGAGGTATAATAAAGTTAGTTGTATTTTAATTTTACACATAGAAGGAATACAAGTACGTAGCTAATACCGTCGTCAGTTGCCGCTGCACAACTGCCATGGACTCATTCCAACAAACATTTACTAAAATATTGTATGTAAAACATTACTGTGGATATCACATACATTTATTTATAACGAAAAAACGTGTAGAACTAAAAGACTTAATATTCCGAATGTTATATGTATTAATAAATAAATAAGTAACAAATAAACACTACACACTACTATGCGTCTGACACACATATTTTTACACTATCTATCTTACAAACACAATATATTATTATAATAATTAAAAATGTATTTTATTTATATGAGTAATAAGGTAGAAAGTCGACCACTGAATGACCACTTGTTTTTATAAATAAGCAACATTTTAAATGAAACAAAAGTTGACGTAAAACAATAATTGTAATCTTAATGCTGCTTTTATTTTTATTACTTCTTGACAAATAAGGTTAACAATAGTAGTACAAGAATAATAACAATAACATATCTACCTATTTTATTTATCAAACACCGGTATGCGCAAAATATTCAAGAGACTGATTATGCTAAATTCTTAGATATCTGAATCGATAAAAGGCTAAATTGGAAAACCCACATTGACAATGTAGCCATCTTTACAGCTTAAGAAAAAAAAAACAATCAGCCGAACATAGTACCTCCCTCTTTTTTGACGTGTAAAAATGGCAAATCAGCAGCTGTAGCCAAATGCCACTTAGCGCTTGTCTACATGTAGAATAGAAAACATAATTAATAATATGGAATTGGCGTAAATGTTGACACTTGTCAGTGTCATCCCCATACATTTAGTTTTCTACTCTCTCGGTAGACAAGGGCTAAAGTGGCGTTTGGCTAAAGACACTGGCGTTGCAGGTGTCCATAGGCGACGCTCTACCTCATACAAAACTATTTATAATACAGGGTGTAAATGGAACGCTCCCGAAACGCCGACAAAAAGATTTTTTTTTGTTTTATTCATGCAATATTAGCTTACAGCAGCAGTAGTTGATTACAACTATCTACTATATAACAATAAGTCAGATTTTCCTTCCTGACGCTATAACTCCAGATCGCACGAACCGATTTCCACGGTTTTGCATTCGATGGAAAGGTCTGCGTGTGCGTGTCATTTTTATACACCAAACGAAATGTTACATAAAACGAAACCATCTGGTGGCGAAACGGAGTTTGCCGGGTTTGCTAGTTATTACATAAAAGCAACATTTAATTCCTGATTTTTATTTTCTTTTTTTTTTATGGCATTAGCCGGCAAACGAACAGACGGATCACCTGATGGTAAGCAATCAGCGCACCCATTTTCACCTGGAACACCAGAGGCGTTACAAGTGCGTTACCAGCCTTTTGGGGATTAGGAGTTTGAGGATGGTTTTGGGATTCGGGGATTGGGGAGATTGGGGAAGGGGGGGGGGGCTCCGGTAACCTCACTCACACGACGTAACACAACGCAAGCGATGTTTCACGTCGGTCTACTGGCCGGAGGCCGTGGTAACGCTCCGTTCAAGCCGGCCCATTCGTGCCGAAGCATGGCTCTCCCACACTTATGAAAATAAAACTTGTGTTTTACAGTTACTTGTCGCCGTTTTTCGTTTTGGGGAGCGTTCAGTTAACAATCTGTATATTATGCAATACATACCTTAGCCATAAATAAAGTTCTAGGACATCAAACACGGATTCGAGATGCACTAAGTCCATGATAGTTTTAGGAGCCGGGAGTGGCCAGTCCACTGCGTTACACATCCAGTTCTTCGTTAGAGGCTCGTTGCGGCTGTATTGTCGCACCATCTGTAATAAATTGATATTTAAAATAAACATTTTTTTTCGTCTCGTAGATCCAGGTCACTGTCCTTTATTAATAGTAGTATGGACCTTAGAATTACGTGTGGTGTACGGCAATATACAAACCCTCTATAACGAGAGACTGATACCACAACAAGAGAAATGTAAGTCGTAAGTTTGCACAAAACAAAATATTTATTAAATCAATGTGAGAGTACTTACTTTTAAAACGCATATTTGTCCACCTCTTTCGGGGATTGAAATACTTAACATTACCATAAATAAACACATACCTTAAGGAATGTAGCACAAACAAAAGGTAGCTTATTGTTAATGGGCGCGCAGCAGAACACGTAGCGCGCACGTAACGGCAGCGGCACGTGTTGTATCATCTCTGCGAGGAACTTGAACGCTTCGGTATTGCACATGAAGTATAACGTCGCGTCCACTGTGCATAGGTGCACGAATATATCCTGGAAATTAAAATCACTACATAGTATAAAACAAAGACGCTATCCGCCGCCTGTCCCTATGTATGCTTAAATCTTTAAAACTACGCAACGGATTTTGATGCGGTTTTTCTTTAATAGATAGAGTGATTCTTAAGGAAGGTGATGTGATATTATATGTATAATACATGCATATTGCACTCGTGCGAAACCGTGGCGGGTCGCTAGTGTAGTATTTTAGTTGTACTTAAATATTGTACCATCTCTGTTATTTAACAAAGAATTTTGGTGAAACTACACTTAAACACGTCTTAAAATCGAGTGGCGTTTGAGTACTCCGACATTTGTTACAAGAAAAACATTAATCAGGTAATTAAATACGTAGATACATTTTATATTATTTTTCGTCACACCCCTATACGTCCACGTCATACTATGACTACGCCATCTATGTATATAGAAAAGTAGGTAAACTTCGAAGATCGAACCAATCTTTATTTTAAATAGGCTTTTTTAATCTTTATTTTTGACACTCTCGAAACTCCAATGTTTCAAATCGATCTTAGTCCACAAATTTTGAATTGAAATTGTTTTTAATTTTGGCCGGAAGAGACTTGACATATAACAAAGACAGGGAAACAGAGCTCTCTGATAAACCGGAACCTTGGGCGAATGTTACACGCTCGCTATGTATAGCGACATTTATCAAGTGATATTTACATACATACATACATAACTTCACGCCTGTCTCCCATGGGGGTCGGCAGAGACAAGGGAACGCCAATTACTACGATTCCTACATACCTCTTTCGATAATATAAATGATATTTAATTATAATATAATTATTATTATTCTGATTGGCTGGTTCAATCAAGCTGGCCAATCATAGTGCTGAACGCGGTCTCGTTTCGATTACTTTAAAGTACTAACCTCTCAGACTCGATAAATATCGTGATCCTAGATTTCGATCTAAATATCACGATAAATATCGAGCGTATAGCATTCGCCTTATAAATTGTGATCTCCATTGTCAAAAGTCTATATTATAACAAACCTTCATGGGTTGTTGAATTGATGATGGGTATTTATTTATTAATTTATTTATGTACACACATTCAACACAGATTCCAACTGGAATTTCTTCCTGTGGGCCTGTGGCAGGAAAAGAAATGTTACTTACCATTAAACTACTAAGACTGGCATGAGGTAAGTGATAGGCGTATAGTTCCATTTGTTCAGCGGTTGGATGGAGTCCAGCTTGTGTGACAGGGTCGGGTGAGTTGGCGAGCAATTTCTTCAACGTCGCCAGATCTTCTGGTTTGTACGTTGTGACGTAGCCAGTCTCCCAAGCACTTCCATAGCGGCCCGCACGACCTATGAACAAATGGAAGTTATTAGGGATTCATAAAATAAAAGGATATGAATGAGAGAATTCAGTACTCAGTCCTATAACAAAAATAATCTATAATTTTAATAATGATATGTAATTTTTAATTATGTTGGTGAATGATGTATAGCTTTTTCCTGTGTCTGATTTTATATATTATTATTGTTAGTTTAGTTGGTGTTGGTTTGTACTGTATATTTTGCTTGGTTCTTAGCTGTCGCATTAGGGTATATGATGCCCTGTAATGATAGTTTAAGGTGTTCTTAAATATAAATAAATAAATAAATAAATAAATAATTTCTCGAAAACAGACCACATTTTTGTGGCCAGGGCATATTTAGACACTAAAATTCAACCTGTGCAATACTTGGAAGACCAACTCCCATACATTTCTGACCACTGCTATTTGAATTATGACCCGCCGTGAGCTTATTTTATTTCACATAACACTATAAAAAATAGTAATCAATAGTGGTTACTATTTTTTATTTATTTTATTAAACGTAACATAAATCAAAGTAGTAAAATAATAAATTTAACAAATACACTACTCACAATATTGTCACAGATTACCATAAATCTACTTAGCAATGACAATAGGGCAAACTTAAAGCTACCAACTATACAAACATGGCATAATTTAAAATTTCAGAATACCTTGTATTTACTAACTAAGATTGAGTGAATTACTCACCAGCAATTTGTAAAGCTTGAGATATACTGATCACATCCATTTCCTTGTCACCATCTTCATTCACCACTGGTTTTATTAAAGAGTAAAATATTATTCGCCGTATGCTCCTAAAAATATAAAAGGCAGTTCAAAATCTAAATACAGACTACAGTAACAACATTATGGTACAATTTTCTTCTGGAGATAGTTAAGTTCTTTTGTTTACAATGTGTAGAAAATAAAGTTATTTGTATTTTGTTAGAAACTAGAAAGCTGGTGAATGATATAGGCTATCAAAGGAAAACCTCTGAAATGAAGTACAAGCCCCGAATCCCCAACAATCCTCAAACTCCTAATCCCCAAAAGGCCGGTAACGCACTTGTAACGCTTCTGGCGTTCCAGGTGTCCATGGGCGACGCCGATTGCTTACCATCAAGTGATCCGTCTGCTCGTTTACGGCTATGCCGTAAAAAAAAGCCAGAAGTAGAAAGCTAGTGGTAATAATTAGATGTAAATATCAATAAATAAGCCTTTTATTTCTCGCTTTTACAAAGTTTTTAGTTTTGTATGTATGTAAATAAGTAAGAAACAAATAAGAAAATATAAATGTAATGTAAATAATAATTAGATGTACTTACAAATTAATACCAAGTCCAATAGCATCGGTAGCAACCATGACCTTACAAGAACTGTTGGGGTCATTGAACTTATTAGCTTGTGCCAGCTTGGTGCCGGGCGGTAGACTACCATATATCACTGCTACTTCTTGTCCTCTGCAACAAACATACACTATTTCAAAATATAACACTGTTTTTTAGTAAGTGGTGTTCTAGCTCTTACTTATGAGTCCCATGTTACAGGGTAATATGAATTGAAATCATTTGGTGTATTTTTAAAACTATTGCCATTGAGGACTAGGGAGATACTGGGAATTTCTAAAATCTATAGACATCGTAATAAAATTGTTAACAGAGCCCGCAAGCTCACAGTTAGACAAAGATAAAATTTGGTTACTAGATAAGTTATGAATTACTTAATAAATTTCCAATGTTGTGTTTTCGTAATAAAATTGAAAATATCTTTGTGTTTAGGAAACAGAAAATAGGTTGCGTTTATGGATAAACAAAATATTGTAACAAAAATTAGGACATTAGGGGACTATGCTACGTATAATTTTTCGTACAATAATATCAACAACTTTTAACAATAATGACCAATGTGTACGACTAAATCTCTGTTTTGATAATAACTATCATGAGACATACAAAATTAACTAAAAATCGCGGGTTACTCACTTGAACGTACTGAGAAAAGCTCTGCTAGTTCCGACCGAAAATACCGGGCACGCTGCTTATGAGGAAGAGCCCCTCTGTGGCTCGAAACTAGTAGAGCTTTTCTCAGTATTGTCACGTAAGTAACCCGCGATTTTTAGTAGACTAAATTTCTACCTATAAGGCTAATAGCTACAAACTACAAAACACACCTAACATCAAAATGATTATGATTTCTAAAATTCTTCTAATGGGCGGTCACACCATGTACCATTAATTACCATGGGATTTTAAACGTCTATTTATATTTCTTAATCATCTCATAGCATTGGTTTTCCTAACAATTTATTTAGTACATAATCGATGTTATTCATAGGATAACATAAATAATATTATCATTCGTTGTAGGATAACATTCACTATAAATTCGACATTAAAAATTAACTTGTATGAAAAAAATAAAAGTTTTTTTAACTTTAAAGTTTAATTTAATAAGTAACTGACTTATTTTCGTATCAAATTAAAATAATTCGAGAAATCGTATATAATTCATTATTTACTAAATTAAGACAAGGTAAAGGTAAGGTCCTAAAAATTCAATTTCAAAACAAATACCCCAAATTTTTTAATCAATAAAGAACAAAATAGACCTTTAAAACGATGAGAATCCTAGTAAATACGTTATTAATTGGATACCTGCCTCAACTGGGACTGACCTCTGTTCAATGGCTCGACTTACACTGTAAATGTCGTTCTTATTGAAACATACTATACAGTCTCCCGGCTTCACATTGTCCAGTGAACCTAGCGCCGAGTCCTCTACTTTCAATTCTGTTAGCCTTTTGTAACTGCGTACCTGTGAAACGAAATACAAATTGTACTTTTAACAACTTCGTTTTTATTAGAATAGACATAGATTTGTATGTTTGTATTGTAACTTTCGTGAGACATACTAAATATGTAAATTATTATGTTTTCGGCTTACTCACGTAATAATTTGACGAGGAACTCGACTAGTTTCAAGCCATGCTAGAGGCTCATATTCATGAGCAGCATTTCGCGACCCGCAACGCGGCGACTGTCGCGCTGCTACTTTCGATATTTGAAACTAGTCGAGTTCCTCGTCAAATTATTACGTGAGTAAGCCGAAAACATAATAATTTATTTAGTATGTCTCACGAAAGTTACAATACAAACATACAAATCTATGTCTATTCTGATAAATACGAAGTTGTTAAAAGCACAATTTATGATATTGGTTCTATTCTGATTAGAGGAAGCTTATTGCGCTGAGATCCAGAATCTGTGCGAAAGCTTTCGATATTTCAAACATTCAATACTAGGTGGGTTAGCGCAATCCATGATCCAAACAGAAATTATCTCAATCAAATATAAAATCCAAAGATGATAAAAACAAAAATGTACCTCTAATTCTTCACCAGTGGTATTACAAATTTCTTCTATTAAACCTATAGCACCAGCTTCACCACACAAATGGATTTCATCAGCTTGTAGTCCTGAAAAACAAATATAGCATTTCATAACTTATTCTCAATGGTCTTAAAGTCTACTTTAGTTTATCAAAAAATTCTTACCTAATATTGCTCTTGTCCACGCCCACCCTCTTCCTCTATCACCAATCATTTGAATTTCGTCTATAATTGCTACTTCATCTGGAATAAACAAAATTAAACTCAATTATTGCCATCATTATCATCAACAGCCTATAAATGCCCACTGCTGAGCAAAGCGAGAAGAGTCTCGCACGAAAAACGATTGAGCATTAATCACCACGCTTGCTCCATGCGGGTTGGCGATTACAAACTTATAATTAGAAATTATAAGCCCAGGGTGCTTACTCTTGAATCCAATTCCGATCGATCGACATTGACATTGTGAAATTCCGTAATCTTGTGTTGTAACACTAGCGCCTTTTACATCCGTATTGCGTGGATATTTCATGAACTAAATTACTATTTACTAAAACTCAATACTTTGAGTTTGGTTTTATATTCCGTACTCTAAATGCTACTTTAGCAGCTACGATAGGGGTTGTATAGTTTTGACATTGGATAATTATTGAGATTGAAATTGCATTGACATTGAGATTGGTTTCAAGAGTAAGCACCCTGGTTTCCTCACGATGTTTTCCTTCACCATTTGTCAGTGGTGTCTAGATAATGTTAGAAAATACATATAACTCTGAAAAAGTCACATTGGTCCTTGCCCTTGGTAGGTTTTGCACCCTCATGGAGAAGCGGGTGTCTTAAACCTCCGGGCCACCACAACCATTACCAACATAGAGCACAATTTTCATTACTTTCACTATTACTATTATGGTCAGCATGAACAAATATCACCTTTTATGACTAAATATTAAGGTGTAATTTTGATTGTCAGACACAACTTACATTTGTTATTTATTGACGTCATTTCAACGGTACACGCGACATGATTGGATGCAGTTAGCTCTGTAGCATTGAGTTGCAAGCTGCCTTCATCAGGTATGTCAATGTGTTTCTCATCTATTGCAGTTAACGAGTTGAATAACGATGCATGTCTTCTTTCTTCACCCGTTATTAGATCGCATGGTGTTCCCTGGAATTGGAAGATGAAGATAATAAAGGTTTTTTTAGACTCTAAAGCTCTTATTTAAATATTTAAAGGGAAACATAAAACGACCTCTAAATATACAATACATGCAACCAAAAAGTTTGGGTGGGTGTTCAATAAAAACCTAATCTATTTTATTTAATTGTAACTAGTTTTTTTTATACACTATTTCGATCTGCCATCAGCTATTCAGCCATAATCAGATGTTGTCTTTTTAATTGTTAACGATTTATTTTTGTTTTTTGTACCTCTACCAAAATCCTTTATTTCTTTTTATATTATTGATTTATATATTTGACTGCACGATTGGCGCGGTGGCTGGCAACCGGGTGCCACGGAATGTGTAGCGGTTTCAATTGCCGCACGGATGAACTATTTATGTGATGCACAAATTGTTGTGAGTGTGTGTGTATGTGGTATTGTATCACTGTATTGTATGTTTGTAAACCCATGACACAGGAGAAAATCCTAAGGTGGGGCAACATTTAAACAAAGAAATAAATTATATAATGATACTTACATGTTTATTAGACTTATGATAAATTTCAGTTGCTAATAGTTTGAGGGGGCCGCAATAAACTCCAGACTTTGAATTCAAGAACCTCTCCATGGCATGATAAGTCTTCCCAGAATTGGTGGGACCCGCATGGAATATTATTTTCCTATTTATTGCTCTTGCTTCTGGATACCTGTAAAATAAAATTGTGTATATTTTGAGACCATACATTTTACAGTCTTTGTCAAGTTTAAGGCATAAAATTGTTCTGTCCAGAAAGAGCATTGCAATTTTTAAAAGGCTTTTTTTTATATATTATAAAGTAGGTGGTCCAGATATTTAATAAACTAGATAGTACTATATAGAATCAGTGTTTTTGGTAAAATATGAAATGTAATACTATTATAATTATTTCTACACCGGAGACGGTTGTGTATGTGAAACTGCTGTATTGTTAAGATCTATGTGTACCATATACTGAGAAATAAACAATATTATTATTTAATGGGGTAAATTCATTGAATGACTGCTCCCGCCTGGGTGAGGCGGGAGGGAGTGTCAAACTCGACAAGAGTTTGAGGAGAAGCTCCTGCGCTTCGAGCCTGAGCCCCGGTAACCCGTTAGGTTCTCCGCGACCGTTAGGTTCTCTGCGACAAAAGGCTAGTAGCATGCTTGTAGTACTGATAAATTACAGTCAGGTGATCCATAAAAAAATATTAGCTCAATTGGGCTAGAATATTGACACATTCAATTTCTAAGTTGAAGCCAAAATAAATGATAACATAAATATAAATACAAACAAAGCAACAGTCCATTGTTTATTTACAAATAAATTGGCAACCAAACTCTTACTTTCAAATGGCACACAATGTCAGAAATGTTCCCAAAAATAGAATAACATTGGCCGACCTTGACAATGACTTTCATTAAATTAAAAACAAAGCTAACTATAAGTGACGTGTAACAAAGAAGATAAATATCATGTTTTGATATCAAACAATACAAAAACAAATGAAGTATTGTGAAAAAATTGATAACAACAAATTAATACATTTGAAAGTCAACTGTTTATTATAAAATAGTATATTATCATACTTTATATTCCCGGAAGCAGCAGACAGAATTGAAATCTACAAAGGCGAACTTGTAGTTCCCATTACGGTGTTCCCATTATGTGTTATGAGACCAATTCAACAATAACTTATAGATAGAAGATCTACATAATATCATCATATTCTAGACAGAATACTGCTATTGGTCAATTACAAAACAAAGAATCAACCAAAACTCAAATCCTGTCCTAGATAAAATCCAATTGGATGAGCCAAATTGCTTACCAGTTTGCAGGTGTTCTTAAGTCAGATATTTTTTTCAGGTCATCTAAACAGTCTAAGTGTGGGAATGCCAGTCTTGCATGTCGTAGGAAGTATGGAAACAAATCATCCACATGACCAGCACCTATAAAAAAATTAAAGCATGTATTATCTATGCTACAAATCTTATACTATTGTATTAAACGCATTCATCTTGGGCACTACTGGTCCAATTTGAATAATTATTTTTGTCTTTGATAGTCCATTTACCCAGGAAGGCTATAGGCTATAGGCATCACATTACGATCAATAGGAGCCGAGCAGAGCTGTATTTACATACAATGAGTTTTTAAAGGTTCTTATTCACTGATTAAATCTTAGCAGAATCTCAAATAATTTATTTTTTTAATTATTCTCACCTTGTATTATATCACTTATTATTATGTGTAAATCAGGTGGGAGATCATGTTCTAAACAATGCCTTCTGAACGACAAAAAAGCCTGATGCAACAACTGTTCATCTAACCCATTCTCTGAAGCCAACACTCTGACCTCTGGTTTCTGGTAGAATTTGTTAAGGATCTTAAGCAGATCTTGCTTCTTCAGACTTCCTGTGATTTCTGCCCCAATGTTTATGTCATCAGGGTTGGGTTTTACTGGTACGGGAACAAACAGAGCCGAAGGACCCCTATCGTGCCTCTTCGTTCGTAGAAAAATATAACCTATATTATGACCACCTTTTCGCGTAAACACATTATTTCTAATAATAGGAGGAACACATGGCTGTATTTTATCTGCACAATGAAGAGATAGTATACGTGTAAATCCTTTATACATGTTGATTATGAAACAAAAAATAAATTGACTAAAAATTTTATATCTTCGGCTGTCATTCCCGTTGATTTGATTTATTTTTTTAAATTCTCATTGACAAGTAAATAATTTTCTCTGGTTTGAATATGTATCTTTTAATCTTAGGTTAACGTTAGTTGTTCGTTACCGAAATCGAAACACTATAAACCTTATTATCGTTGTTTGTTGTTTTATTATATTTATAAAGTTAATATTTTTATTGTTATACTTTGAAATCGAATCTATATTATATTACCAATTAAGGTGATAGTAATTAATAATTATTTTTCTATTAAAATATTAGTTGTTTTTAATAAATTACGTTGTACAATTTGTAGAAGTTTTTACATACATTAAGGTAATCAAGTATTAATATTTTATTGTTATTCAAGTTGTTATCGGGTGGCGGCTCGTGGCATATTGCAGAATATTTAAATTGGTTAAATACTCTTAGCTATAGAATGAACATTTAACAAATTTAAATAATATTGCACATAATTTCTAAAACATATAGAGCATATGTTTTTAATTCCTCTACGTAATCAATCAAATCAGTACTGCATTGTAATGTAGTCGAAAGAAAGACATAATGTTATTTAAAGTATATTTCATATGTTTTTGGTAACGTAATTAAACTTTAAATGACCATAACGTAACTGTTAATAACACGTAAACTAACGTAAATAAAATTATTGATAACATTGTATCATTTGCCGATAAAAGTTGTGCCAACAAAGTGCCAAGTATCTTTATCAAGCAAAACGTTACCTCTAATAATGACGTTATCGTTTTTTTGGTTAAAATAGACTAATTTTATGTAAAAAAAAAATTAAATACACAATCACTGGTCAAATTAACCATACATTGTATGGCCATATAAGTACATCAATGCCCTATACCATACCAGCAGAAATCGAAGCGATATCTCGGCCTAACAGAAAACCAGTTTGAAACTACATTTGCGTTGTATTCTTTTATATGTAAGCGGGGTTATACGAGGCCTGGTTCGGCGAGTGTCTAATTCTTACTGACTAAAAACTATACTGTTCTAATCCCTGCTCCAAGCTGTGCCGCGGTATGTTAAGGCGCTTAAACAACTAACCTTGGCCGGGGAACCCCCGCTGACCCCGTCTGTGATGGTGGTGTGGTTCTAGTCGGTCGGCGAGCGAGACGATCGCTCACCGCTTCAGCCTCTAAGAGAAAATCTATTAGGGGCAGAAGGGTCGGACAAAAGCGTGATTTTAAATATTTATTTTATATATAGAGAATTGGGCTAAAATTTTAAATAGAACTACTTACACATCAAATATAAAAAAATGTATAATTATGAATATTACAAAAAATCCTACAACTCCAAATACGGTAATAAAAAGACACAGAGTGAACTGACTGAGCTGAAACGTAATCTAAGTCAATGGGTCACTCTAATTTTTCGTTGCTCTTCCTTTCCTTTTTTCTGTGTCTGTGGTTTGACTCTGACGTGACGTGAGTGCAGGACGGACACGACGACGACTTGATCGTATTTAATTTTCGGCTGCAAAAGCTATCCCGTACGTTGATCTCGTTTCACATGATAGAGTTCACAAAATATACGATAAAAGACCACTATATTCCTGGCATTGTGACTTAGTACACATACTAACAACATGGGGAAGGCTAAAAAAGGGAAGAAGAACTCGACAGTGGACGAGGGGTAAGTTTCGTCAATGGCATATGTTTTCTGTGTTGTTTGCCAATTTTCGACCCGGAAATTCATAATGCTTTTCTCATTACAGTGACAGTGATGTAGAAACTACAAATATTGATAACGTTAAGCCGGCCCAGAAGGCAAAAAAGTAAGTGGTTATAGGTTAACCTTTCAGTCACTATTATCGCTATTTTTTTATTCCGCGAGTGTGCAATGGTGTATAAATTATTTATTTTCGCTTTTTAATTGATATGCGAATACGTGTGTTTGTAATGTAACTTTTTATTTTTATTTACAAAACCTGGTTGGTCAGGTACCATGTAAATTTTTTATGCAGTGTTCAATAAATACAACAAAATTCGTTTAATTGCAAGGAAGCATTTGTTACTCCTACTAACTTGTTATTCCAGAAATATTCATAAGTGTATTTACCTATAAATTAAAATTTAATTATTGTTTAGTTCAATATTTTCTACACATATGGCTGGTCTAATACCATAAATGATTTAATTATTTCAAAATATGTTGCAATTAAAAAAATGTTCTGTCATGTTCCAGGATATCAGTTGATTCTGATAGTGAAGATGAGAAGCCTAAGCCAAAGGCTAAACATAAGAAGTCGGTAGATGAAGATGTAAAGGAAGTCACAAAAAATATTAAAAATGTCTCAATCTCAAATAAATCAAATCGTAAGAAGAAAGATGCCACCAGTGAAGATGGTAAGAGTGTTCAGATTATCATTACTTAAAGGGCATTGACTAAAATTGGTGCCTTTCGTTTTTCTGGCGGCAGTCGATGATTTATGGAAAATATTATCTAGAATCACATTACTAATGATATTGTCTATGGGCTGATATATGGAAATCTCAGTCTGGACTGAGTTATGAGCTCTACGCTCATAACTCAGTCTGGAGCTGGAGTCAAACATTTTACTTTGGTTTTTTTATTCAAATTATTCATATTTTTGTCACAATTCCTAACTTCAAATTGCGGGCCACTGTACGCCGCGCACAGGAACACTATATCACACCACAATATATCCATATTGTCAGGTACTAATTTTTATTACCTATTTTCTCTCAGTCGATAACATGTATGATGCTTCTAGGAGTTGTGTCATGAAGCTTCATGAGCGTCAGCTGTGGTACCAGTGGTGGGTTGAGTAGTGGTAGCCGTCCAAACATCTAATTAAGTATTATTTTTTTGCCGTTGACTCCTGGTGGGAGACTCGTCTACTTTATAGTTAGCAGAATCTTTTGAAGAAAGGAAACCGTCGACTTTATAAAGTAATGGACTATACGTCAGATGAGCGCATAATTTTTTCATATAATGTGATCAATTGAAATATAATTCATCATTTTGTGACTGAATGACGATATCTTTGTACATAATGTTATGCTAGCTGTAGATTAAAGATTTAACATAGCTAGATTAGTTACTAATCGGAAGTAAGTCGGGAGAATTAGACAGAAAAATGTTTTTTTTTCGTGTTTTGACGACAGCCGCTACCGACGCCGCAGCTGACAAACATAGCATTTCATAATAGGGCTCAGAAAAGTATTTTGCGGGTTTTCGATTGAGAGGAAATTGATCATGAAAATCTGTCATAGGCCATAAACCGTATACATATAAAGTGAACACGCTAGCCAATCAAGAGAAATATTTTTTTACTTCAGCAGTGGCCAGTTATTGATTTACTCTGTACTGATTCCGTGGCCTTATAAGAAAAAAAAATAAGTAAAACAATCCACAACAAGCTTTATTATATTCCTTGAAATCGTTTATAAATATATATTACAAAATATTTCTGACAAGTAAATGAAGAAATATGCGTTGTGTACGGTCACCAGCAACAAAATAACAGGAATAATATAGCACTATTTTCACATCTTTGAACTGATTTAACTCGGTTTGGACTGTGTTTTTATATAAGACCCCATATATTTTTTTGTTTGTAATGTTATTCTGCATCAAATTTTCTACATCCGATCAACTGCCGCGACAAAAGGAAAAGGCACCAAGCTCCATACAAATTTGGTCATTGTCATTTTTAAAGCACTGTCGATCCATATGTTTGTTTGTCTTCTATTTCATAAAAAAAGAAAATATATTCTTAAATATTTATACCTTTATTGTTGTATTGTGTTGTATTATTGTACAAGTCTTATACCTTTATCTGTCCATACATTTTGTAGTTATCTTCACCCTAAACTTGTTGAAATCACTATAAATATTTCATTCTAATTTAACTTGATCTAGTCTAGATGATAGAATTAGAAATTTTATGGTAGAATCAGTATCTAATTAGTAGAATTAAGTGTAGACTATACAACCTAGTTTGATTCTGTTGAACTAATGCGGGAATACTGAAACGTTTCTCAATTTTATGTTGTGCTTAAATATCGTGCCATCTCTGTCATTTTACAAAGAATTTGTAGAGACAGAACTATACTTAAGCACGACTTAAAATTGAGTAGCGTTTCAATATTCCGACATAGGTCTACTGTCTACTCATTTCTTCAAATACCTTTTACTATTTAAGTCAACTAAAATATTTTCTAAACAGATGATTCAGAGGAAGAGGAGCAGAAGCCAAAGAAAAATAAAAAGAAAGAGGAAAAGAAAAGTGCCTTTTCTCTGTTACAAATTGAGGATGGTGATGATTCTCCACCTGAAGCTCCTCCATCATCAGATGATGAAAAGCCTGCCCCTAAACCTCAAAAGAAACCTGTCCAAGAAAAGAAAGAACCAGCTGGCAAGAAAGGTAAAAAAGGAAGAAGAAACAAGAATGACAGTGATGATGATATAGAAAAAGTATTAGCAGAATTAGAAATGGAATATGCAGGTATTAAGAAGGAGCCAACTCCTGCTCCTGAACCAGAAAAAACTGAAGAGGTAGTAGAAGAAAAGGTTAAAACTAAAAAGAAAGGCAAAAAGGATGAGCCCAAACCAGAGCCTGAGAAGGAGGATGATAAAGAAGGCAGTGACAACGAGAATGATGTTACCATAAAGACAGCAGCACAAAAGAAAAAAGAAAAGAAGGAAAGAGAAAAGTTAAAAAAGCTGGAAGCTAAAAAGAAAGAAAAGGAACAAGATGGTAGTAAAAAAGAACCTAGTGAGCCTAAACCTAAAGCTGCTGAAGTTCAAAGTAAACCTGAAGAGGAAGCTAAAGAAGCTCCTGCTGCTAATGAACCTTCAGAAGAAAAAGATGCAGATGGTGAGACTCCTGCTGAAGGAAAGAAAAAGAAGAAGAAGGGTGAAAAAGCTGAGAAGGAAGATAAGGGAAAGAAAGGTCCCA